TTCTGCACTCCTTTCCCTGCTCTTTTGAGGTCTCTTTCAGAGTTAGCTTTAATTAGCAAGCTCCAAGCTGACTGACTGGGCTGAACGGTAGGGCCGGAAGCTGCTGGGTTGTTTGGGGTTGGTGAGGACCGAGGGAGGGCATGGCGTGAGTGGAGAAGCTTCTTAAACCATAAATCTGGCTGGGCTTCAAGAGGGGGCTGTTGGTGGTGTGGCCAAGTTCCAAATGTTGGCCTGAAGCCAGGGCTCAAAGAAAAGAGGCCCTCAAGTCCGTTTAAATGGCTCCCTGTGGGAAGTGACCTCCTAGTCCTTCTCCCCAAGATCCTCAAAGACCAGAGTGGCCATTTCTCCAGTGGCTCCCCTCGATCACATTTCTATTCTTTCTCTCCCAGCCGCTCCCATAGTTGAAGCATTGGCCACAGCCAGAACTCAGAGGCAGGCGGAGGATTCCGGTGCTGGAGAGGCGGCTGGGGTGAGGAGGAAAAGGCTGACCTGGGACATATGGGCCCAGGCTCTGCTGCCAGATGAGGTGGAGGGAGTGTGTGTTCTGCAAGTATTTGCTTGAGGGCTGCAAAATAGGGATCCCGATGGAGGGGAAGAAAGCTGTGAGAGGGGAAAGGGGTTGGAGAAAGCCCCAGCTTCCACGCAGGCAAGTCTTCGCTGAGCCTGGGCATTTATCAATTTTCAAACTTATTTTGAAATAGTTGTCCACTCAGAGGAAGTTGCAAAAATAGTACATGAAGTCCTGAGTACCCTTCCCCCACTGGTGATGTCTTACATAGCTGTAGCACAATATCTAAACCAGGAGGCTGACATAGCTACGATGCTATTAACTAGTCTACAGGCCTTATCCCATTGTCACCAGTGTTTTACATGCACTCATTTGTGTGTGTTTGTGTGTGTGTGCATGCGTGTAGACTACTTCATCTTATGTAAAGTCTCAAATAACCACCACCAAAATCAAGATACAGAACTCTGCCCTAGCTGGTTTGGCTCAGTGGATAGAGTGTTGGCCTGCAGATCAAAGGGTCCCGGGTTCAATTCCGGTCAAGGGCACGTACCTTGGTTGCAGGCTCCTCCCCAGCCTGGTCCCTGGTCCGGGCTTGTGCAGGAGGCAACCAATTGATGTGTCTCTCTCACATGGATGTTTCTCTGACATGAATGTTTCTCTCTGTCTTTTCCTCTCTCTTCCACTCTCCCTAAAAAATCAATGGAAAAATATCCTCAGGTGAGGATTAACAACAACAACAAAAAAGATACAGAACTCACCTGGCTAGCATGGCTCAGTGGTTGTGTCGACCTAAGAACCAAGAAGTCACGGTTCGATGGGTTGTGGGCTGGATCTCCAATGTGGGCCATGCAGGAGGCAGCCAACTAATGATTCTCATCATTGATGTTTCTATCTTTCTCACCCTCTCCCTTCCTCTCTGAAATAAATAAAAGCATATTTAAAAAAAAGATACAGAACTCTTCATGACTACAAAGGAACTTCCTATGCTATTCTTTTATATGTCCCCCCCCCCATCCCTGTCCCTGGGAAATCACTAATCTGTTCTTCATCTCTATAGTTTTATTATTTTGAGAATGTTATCTGAGTGGAATCATATAGTATCAGCACTGGTTTTAATTTAATGAATTCCCAAACTCTTTTTTAAAATAATTTTTTGTTGTTCTTGTGATCAGAGCTTTTTTAAAAATATTTTTATTGATTTTAGAGAGGAAGGGAGAGGGAGAGAGAGATAGAAACATCAATGATGAGAGAGAATCATTGATTGGCTGCCTCCTGCACGCCCCCTACTGGGGATTGAGCCCGCAACCCAGGCATATGCCCTTGACTGGAATCAAACCAGAGACCCTTCAGTCCACAGGCTGATGCTCTATCCACTGAGCCAAGAGGGCTAGGGAGAATTCCCAAACTCTTGACTCAAATACAGGAAGTTCTCTGGCAGGTTGCTTATTCTAATGTTCAGCTTCCTCCCTTCTCAGGACCCCTCAAGCGTCTTCATTTCCCCCTTCACCTACAGTGTCCCCACGATACTGCTTTCCACTCCGGCAATCTGGTCTCACTTCTCCTCTAGAGAAAATCTACGCGTCTAACCTTACGAGGCTGCGCTGGAGCTCTCGCATGTTCCCGCCAACCCTTGCCCCACTATTTATAGGCAGGCTAATTTGGGCGGCCTTTCTCTCCTTCCTCCTGTAGCAGTGAGGTGACTTCTCAAATATTTGGGCAGAGGAGGTCAGAAGCAGATTTTTGGCATCTGATTTCAGCCTTGGATTTAGCAGGAGCCAGAGGAGTGGAGCCGGAGGGAGGCAGAAGCTGTAGGTGCAACAAGGAGGCAGCTGGGGCTCTAACGGCATTCCGAGGCCCGCTGTGGGTCTGGGCTGAGTCGGGAGGGGAGTCCCGGGCCCTAATCTGATGTTACTATCCTGCATCCTCACGTCAGCTCTTCCCTACTGTCTGTGGCTCTGAAGTGCAGAAGTAATGGAGAGAACATATCTGGGGGCCAATAACAGCAGGGCCCCGTGTCAGCCTGCTGGCAGCACTTGTGTAGAGATTGCCGAGTCCCCTGGGGGAGATGGCCACGCGTGTGGTGGTATAAAAAACGGAGGTCCAAAGGGGATAGTAATTCACGCAGGCCAAGAATCGTGTCAGGGCCAGCAGAGTAAGAGCCTACCTGTTTGTTTGCTTGGTTAAAAGCATAATCTTGGACAAAGAAGTAAGAGAGACAAAGTGAGCATGTGAAGAGGAACTAGGTAGGTCACATTGGGGCTTTTAAGAAAGGGAGGGAGAAGACAGGATCTCAAGAATATGACAGTGTTTGAGGGGCAGAGAAATCATTAGAGACATTGAGAAATCGTCTGTGAAAGATTCCAAGAAGGGGGACAAAAATAGAGTTTCGGACGAGAGAGAGAAAGGGAGAGAGAGAGAGAGAGAGAGAGAGAGAGAGAGAGAGAGCAGTGGACAGATGGATATGCACAAGACCAACACCCAATAAGAAAGACAACTAGGAAGAGGAGGGAAGGTGGGAACAAGTGAGGTTCTAGTTGTGCGAAATTATTCCCTATCTCTCCTCCTGTCTCCATTTCTGGATTGGAGTTATAAATAGCAGAGTTGGAAAATGTCCCCCCTCCCTTTGCTTCTGCCTCAGCATTGGGGGGAAGGGAGAGGAAGAGGGACAGGCTTGCTGGTAGGTCCCTGAGAAGCCCCACCCAGCTCCTGCCTGGGCCAGCCAAGACTCCGCCCTGAGATCCTCTCCCATCCAATCCTCTCCCCAGTGGTGGTGGGAAATGCCCAGTCCCAGGAAGGGCCTGGGAACTGCAGACATCCTTCCCATCCCCCTGCCTCTTGGGCCCCATCTCTCATCTTTGCCTTTGTTCCTCTTCCTTTATCATCATCAGTCTTTTTTCTTGTTTTCTCCCATCTCTTATTTTTTATTTTATTATCTTATTTTTATTTTTAAAATATATTTTATTGATTTTTTACAGAGAGGAAGGGAGAGGGATAGAGAGTTAGAAACATTGATGAGAGAGAAACATCGATCAGCTGCTTTCTGCACACTTCCTACTGGGGATGTGCCCGCAACCAAGGTACATGCCCTTGACCAGAATCTAACCTGGGACCCTTAAATCAGCAGGCTGACGCTCTATCCACTGAGCCAAACCGGTTAGGGCCCATCTCTTATTTTTTTTAAAAAATATTTTTATTGATTTCAAAAAGGAAGGGAGAGGGAGGGAGAGAGAAACATCAATGATGAGAGAGAATCATTGATTGGCTGCCTCCTGAACTTCCCCTCCTCCCCCCTCTGGGGATCACGCCCACACTGGGGATCGAACCCACCACCCCGGCATGTGCCCTGATAGGAATCGATCTGTGACCTCCAGGTTCATAGGTCGACGCTCAACCACTGAGCCACGCCAGCCGGGCCCATCCCTTATCGATCAAACTCTTGCCCTTCTTTCTCCATCTCTTTTCTCTTGTTTCTTTCTTCCCGCCTCCGTTGCTCCCTTCCCCAGGCCTGCTGAGTTTCTCTCTCTTCCCCTGAATGTTGTGTCACTGCCGGGCCTCGGGGAGTGGGGTGGGAAGGGGGGGAAGCGGTGTTACTGGAACAGCACGAGAGGTGCCTCATGCAACCAAGGCGAGAGGGGAGCACCGAGGGACCGCTGCCCTTTCATCGCCTCTCTTTCTTTTCATCGCCTCTCTTTCTGTTTGCCCCTCTCTCCCCGCCTTCGCATCTCCTACCCTCTTTTCTCTTTTTCGGTCCCGCTCTCTCTGTACTCCTCTCTCGCTCCCGCTCGCCATTCCTAGGCGCCGCCTCCACCCCTCGCGGGCTCGCGCAGGAGAGAGGGCAGGAGAGAGTGAGGGCGCTGGGCGGGGCTGGGGGG